AGGGTATTTAGGGATATATTTTGTACATTTTATTTTAAATAAAATGTGTTGTAATAAATTGTATAAAGGTGATGAGTTTTGAAGAAAAATAGCATGATTTATGTTGAAAATTCCTAAGGGAATGGTTGATTAAATTAAAGAACACCAACGGTTATAAAGAGGTCTAGACTTGTGTATTGGCATAGGATTGGCAAAAATGCAAAGAAAGGAAAATAAGCGATAAAATGTATGCTTATGAAATAATTATGGTATTGCATCATTTTATTGATGCATTGTAAATTATTCTCTAGGTGTGCCTAGGGATTGAGAAGGATCGGAAATCTCTTGAAGCGATAAAAGTAACTTGTTCCACAAGTAAGCGTATTGGTAAAGCTTCAAGAGGTAAGCTCTATGTTTAAGGAGTCTTTTCTTGCTTGAGTGCTCCACCATGGTTAGTGAACTATGGTTGGACTGTATGACTGTGATTTAGATGCCTTGTATAGATGCATTCATATAGAGTTATTTGATAACATGATATGTTTTGCTCTGATATGACTTCTGTAATTTGATTTCTGTAACAATCTCTGGCCATTGATTGTATAGTACCCGGACGTCCGCTTTGGGGTCCTCCCTCGGGACTGATGGTGTACTCCTCTGATATGTCTGGTTCCGCTTTGGGGTCCTCCCTCGGGAACACGTGCGTTGATTTCCGCTTGGGGTCCTCCCTTGGGAATGACGGCGCACATCTCTGATATGATATGGATATATGCTCTGTTCTGTTATGATATCTGTTATATGTTGTATTTGTATACTCTGTATCTGACTTTCATGCAGGAGTGAGCCAGGGGTATGGAGAATTCTCTATAAACCTGGAGCTTATTGAGATTTGTAATCTCACCCCTCCTTGGGGACACATTTTCAGGTGCCCAGATTTCCGGTGAGTCCTCACTAGGCAGGGACACGACACGTGGCTGAGGCAGTTGACAGACCGGATTTTGAGTGGCTGTAGGCTGCTACCTTTTTGGAGTGTTTGATGTATTTTAGTATTTTCGCATTTGATGGATCATGATATTGATCCTTTATTTTGTATATGGCCTGTATATGTTTTGTACATGTCTGTCAGTTTGATGCATGTACATTTGAGTATTCAGGAACGTTATATGATGATGTAGTATTCAGATAGGTTTATGTTTTGATGGCATGCTGTTAGATTTAGTGGCACGGAGCCATGTTATGCATGCGCCCATGTATGGGTATTCGATTATATTTGGATATCTGGTATTTCTGAATTGATATGTTGTATAAACTGTTTATCAGGAAATGCTTCTGAGTGGGATTGGAAAATCCCCAGTTGTCCGATTTATAGAGGAAACTCTGCCCGATTTTCGTTTACGCCGAGTAAGAATTAAGTTAGAAAAAGAAAAAGTTAGCTCATATTTTCGTAAGTTAAGTCTTCCGCTGTTTCTGTTTATATCATGTGTATGTTAATTGAACCGGCTCGAGACGGGGATGTAACACATGGCATATAATTTCGGCCATTAAGCATGATGACGGTGAGTCGTCCGGTATCAGAGGTACTGGTCTAGTCAGAAGCAGCCACGAAACCAAATACAGACAAAAAAACAACCACAAAAGGAGAGAGAGAAAAAAATTTTCAAATAAATTAGGAACGTGGTAAAACCACAAGTACAAATAACCACATACAATGGCAGAGAGAACACACGAACAATGGCAGTAGAGAATGAACAGCACGCAGTCGGTGCCCAGCAAGGTGACAGCACAGCGGAAGAACAATGTGGTGTCTGGTCGGTGAGGATCTACTGAGTTTCTCTCCTCACTATATGGCGACCAAGGCGTGGACAAGCTTAAGTAAAAAAAAAAATCGACTAACAGGGGAGGGAAGAAAATTAGGTGGTAGCGACGTTGATATTCGGGAATTGAAATAGGATTAGGTTTACAAGAGGGAATGGATTTTGTGATTTGAAAAAAAAAATTCCTTTTTTCTTCAAACAAAAAATAATTCTGGTAAGGAAAAAAAAAAAAAAAAAATATATATATATATATATATATATATATATATATATATATATACGGGGTTTACATTTCTGCAGCTGTTGTACCTTACTTGCCATATATATATATATATATATATATATATATATATAGGGATAGGATATTGTGCCTACTTCTCTACCTTTACCAACATCGTTGGATTACAATCTCATCTAACGGTTCAGATTCAAAAAATAAATAAAACCCTTTTACTCTTTTTCTCTCTCTCTCTCTAACTCTTCTCTTTCTCTCTCTCTAACTCCACCCTTTCTCTCTCCTCGCTTGTGTGCGATGAAGAAGACGCCCAAGTCTACATTTTACGATTAGGAAAATATTCTTCATCCTTTGTCCATGCACTTGTATTCTGAGAAGGGTTGAATTGGAAAAGAACAAGTTAATTGGAGTATATAAATTAAAGTGATAGAATTTGCCAGAGCATGTTAGGGTTCCGTCTCAGAATGAAATTGATAACTTTGTCTTTTTCCCATCTTAGGGTGGTTTCTGTATATTTGGATTTTTGATTTTGTTGCCTTTTTACGGCGGTGTTGCTTGTCGACGACTGATGATTGATCCCATCTTTGTGCAGAATCTGGGCCTCGCTGAAACCTAAACCAACAGAGATGGGAAAGGGCTTTTTGTTTCCATTAAATAGACTCTCCCTCTCTCATTCCAAATGTGATCTAACAAACGTAGTGTTAAACGATTCGATATGGTTTTATTTACCTTTGTTTCAACCCAAACAACCCTAATTATTCAACGCCCTAAATTATGGCTTATTTTCTTCTAAGGGTAACAAAGCAGAGTACTGTAGAAATTTGTATTTTCTTCTTCTTTTCTTCCAGGATGATAATATTGGATACTCAATTTTGAGTTTATGCACAAATACTTTGGTGTTTGCAGCTTTCGAATCTTTAATAATATTTGTCATTCCTGTTTTTTTAACAAAGAAAAAGATGATGTCGTATTATTTGTTCTTCCTTGCATCGTAGTTCTTTTTAATATTTTGGTTTTTTTTTTTTTAATCTGTGGATGTTAAGGCATGAATTCTACCATCGATTTTGTTTCTTAGCAACGTATCTGGTTTTCAGTGGGAGAGATATTTGCAAGTACGTCTTCTTTATCGCAAGCAAGGGAGGAGAGAATAAGGGTGGAGTCAGAGAGATAGGGGGAAGAAGAGTGGAGTTAGAGAGAGAGAAAAAAAGAGTAAAAGGGTTTTATTTAACTTTTGAATCTGAACCGTTAGATGAGATTGTAATCCAACGATGTTGAGAGGGGTAGGTAAAAGTAGGCAAAATGGGAGTAGGCACAATAACCTATCCCATATATATATATATATATATATATATATATATATATATATATATATATATATATTTGAAAGCATTAAATGCGGAAAATCATAATCATACAAAGGATGAAAGCATTAAATACGGGAAATATAACCATACAAAGGCTGAAAGCATTAAATGCGGGAAATATAACCATACAAAGGATGAAAGCATTAAATATGGGGAATTATAACCATACACCTGTCGTTGTTGTACGTAAAGCGACTGCAGAAGTGATTTATATATATATATATATATATATATAATCCGCTCTTGATACCATGTAGAATAAAAAGACACAGAAATTTATCGTGGTTCAGCCAGTAGGCCTACATCCGCACTGGTGACATTTCTCCCCCTCTCAAGTGATGATCCAGGAGGGGAGTTCCCTTCAATATAAATAATAGGTGATACAATAATTGGGCCAAATTATTTTGCCCACAATCAAATAAATCACATAATTTGTTTCCCTTTGATATTTCTAACAATTATTTGATATTTGATATTACAATCAATCAAATCCTCTAATTTATCTCCTTTGATATTTCTAACAATTTCTTAGCAACATTTATAGAAGATATTAAATGCTCTTTAACTAATATCCTTAAATAGTATTAGCAAGAGCATAGCCTTTGTTTCCATGCATTCAGCATTATTTAGTTGGTGTTCGTTCGCGTTCATCACAAAATTGGTTATACCTTGCAACAGACGGAGACTTTCTCAACCCCTTAGAGCGATTTCTTATTCTAAACAATTTTAGGTATTGTCAACAACCTTTCATTTATTGTGCATTTATTCTTTTAAATACTCTTGTCTATAAAGCTACTAACCTTATTGTTAGAGTAAGTTGCATATTATGTCAGTAACCTCTTATTCAATTACAAGTCCCACTCTGCATGTGTTCCATGTTCAATACTATTACAGTGACAGTGATGATGAGTTTCACAATAGTCTTTAATCTTTAAAGTACAATTAGAAGATAATGAATGTATCAGTGTGGCACATGGTTGTTTACATCTTGAAATGTATGTATTAGTAATCAAATAGTACAGAAGCACATGATAAATGTAATGAAAACCACTCAAAATGCCACAGCAACTCAAAAACATATTGTGGTATAATATTCACCAAAACCAAAAAGGTTAGAGAATACAGAAAAGATAACAACCCCATAAACAAAGCAATAGAAGGAAAAGGAGGGAAAGGTGGTCCTACATTCCCCTCTACGAGTATCCCACACACTACACAGGCTGTTAAAGAGAAACAAATAATGCAAAATCTGATGGGTCACATGGACTAAAAGCAAACTGACACCACACATGTCCTTGCCTAACAATTGCACACGCACATGGGGTCTGTCCCATAAGCCTCTCACCACTTAATAACACCATCCTAAACATTTTTTTTTTCTCTCTAATAATCATTTTTTCCCTCAACTATCTATGCAAACCACTCCCATATTGTCATTGAAGTCGTCACACTTCACAAGTCAGAAAACCTTTTTTTTTTTTTTTTCCTAGCTAATATTATACACAACGATTAAATGAAAGTAAACTATATTGTTAGCACATTACATATGCTCTTTAGCATATATAACTTTTGTCTTGAGCTCTTCTGGGTCAATCTCAGTTGAAATTGGATCTATAGAGTGGGATCTATGGTACATTGGGGCCTAGTAGCCAATAAGGTGCATTGCAAGTGCCTGTGGCAAGTGATTAAGTGGTCATTGGTGAGACCAACTGCTTGCATAAATGAATGAAGCACTGTTGGACCTACGAACCTAAAGCCCCTTCTGATCATATCTTTGCTTATGCTCTCTGATTTTGATGTCTTCACTGGGATCTTGTGGCCGAACTTGTGTTGAGTGGAGATGGGTTTATGATTCACAAAACCCCAAATATATTTGTCAAATGAACCAAAGTCCTTGTTAATCTGTAATAGCCAAATTTACAAAGAGAATATTAAAAATCCTTCTAGACATATTCAGTAATTACTTGAACAGAAATGAACACAATATTCTCATTCTTAACCCGCCACCCAAATCACTTTCCATTAAAACCCGTCTAACGAGGATAAGGACGGGCAGTCCTTATACACAAATTTACTCTTGCATATTAAAGAGTTATTTCTTTAATCTGAACCTGTGATCTTTAAATCACAAAGGAATAATATTATCGCTGGCGCAGACTCGCCTTTTAGTAAAATTAAATTTCTATCACCTGAAAAGAAAAAATTCTTACTAGAGTAAAATAAAAGTGACTATGATTGTGTAATGTATGACAAGGTTGATACGGTTTGAAATTTAGCATAAAGAGATCAATCAGCTCATATCGGGTCAGGCTATAAAATTTCTATGCTATTGGAACTTGTTTGTATGTCAATGGTTGATGATATTAAAGAGAAAATAATAAGATGCAGTTGGAAAATCATTATTGTACTTTTCATCATTGATACTCCAATTAATCTGTTCTTTTTTCAAGAATATTTACTTAAATAATGTAAACTAGTGTTCTGGAGGGCCATAATATGTAAAGAAGAGAGACCAAAAGAGAGATGAAAAAGGCAGAGTGTTTTATGCTTAATGCTTACTTACCTCTAAAATTCGATTAGCATTATCAACAATTCCTCGAACCCTGCTCATATCAATGCCATATTCCAAACTAATAGACATCATTTGCTTATCTGTCAAGTTGGCCACAGTTGCTGCATCAAAATTTGAAAATGCAGTCCTGTATAATTTAAAGTTCATTAGAAGTTTCCTCATTTAAGGGACAAAAAATAAAAAAATTAAAATTTGCATGTAGGTGTGCATATGCAATTGTGCACTTAGGTGCTATTTAGAAGAATCAAACCTGAAATCTTGCCGTTTCTTCAAGATTGAGGTCCAATCAGATCCAACTTGAGCACCGCTTAAAACTAGAAGTTCAAACAACACCCTGTATGTGCAATAGCGTTTTTGTTAATAATCATCACCATCATCATTTGTCTCTACACATTTTTGTTTGGTCTTAATTGTGCTTTTGCCTAATGAGAGAGGAAGTGGGGGCTTACTTGTCATCATGAACTGGAACTCCCCATTCTTCATCATGATAAGCAATATAGATGGGATCTATTTATCAAAAGAGACATTGAGATTAGCACATTCTGTTTTCAGATGAAGCACACTGCATGAAGTATAAGAAAATTGGAAATGAATTTTTATTAAATTTATACCCTCAGTTACCTGAATTGGTTGTGATAAAGCTGCATCTTTTCTCCTCCTCACTAGGCTTGGATGTAAGATTGCTTGAAGGGTCAAGAGGAACACCTCTTTCAAACTTTGCTGACTTTGATCTTCCATAATGGGCAATCTTCATTTTCCTCTGTGCATGTTGAAGTGCCATCTGTTCTCTCCTCACTGCAGCTATGCTACCTGGGGAATCAGTGATCAAAGTTGAAGAGTAACTTAATGATGCCTCAACAGAAGCAGAAAGACTAGTTCCACAGGAACCATCCTTAAAACTCTTGGACTTCTTCCTCTCTAGAGTTGGAGTTTTTATGGTGTTTCTTAGGGTTACAATCTTTTCAGAACTTGAGTTCAGCCCATTACTATCATTGCTTCGCTTTATTGCTGGAGGCCTTGGGGACTTTGACTTTGGTGAAACTGGAGGAGTCAATGAAGTTTTGCTTGGAAGTGGTGGTGATGGTGGAGAAAGTGATTTTGGTGACACTTTCTTGATTGAATTTCTTCTCTCAAGGTTAGAAACTCTATTACAAGTTGGTTGAAGGACAGGCCTGCCATTGATTCTGGCCACAGTAACATCTATGCCCACAGTCACTTTGGCCTTGGAGCTGCACATTTTTTGTTGCTTGGTTATGTTGTGGTTAATTGGAAAGTGAACTTTGTTGGGGGAGTAATGGATTAGGAGCTGTAATGATAATGAAACAATGATGTGAAGAAGGATGTAATAAAGGATTGAAGGAATGGGAAGGGAGGGATATTGGGTTTTATAAAATGTGTTGATGGTGGGGACAGGTAAAGGGGAAGTTGTAACATGGGGAAGTGGGAATCTGCTATACAACCTCTTGTGAGGGGCATTACTTTTTTGCAAACTAAACCACGAGGGGCGAATATGACACAGGCTTCTAACTTGACCATTTTGCAATGTCTCAAAGCAATTAATCCTTACTGTTGCTATGAGTACGAGTTTGTATTACTAGTAAAGCTATTTGTTAGAGTCTAGAAATCATAGATGGGACAGCTTAAGTTTTTGGGTTAAATTAGTTCTTGGGGAGGGTTATATTTACAAATTTTTTATTTACAAACTATATTGTGTTCTTCCGGGGGAATACTATGTTCTCTCGGGAGTACATAGTATAATTTACAAAATTTTGTAAAAAAATTTTGTAAACGGATCATTCCCCTTAATTCTTTACATGGTATGAGCTTTAGTGACCTTGAAAGGTTACGAAAACTATCGTCACCGCCCTTCACTTTCTCTTGTAAATAAAAAAACATTGATAGGCCTAGATGTAAAAATTACAACAACAAAAAAACATTCACTTAACAGCTTAAGCTTTTGAGTTGAATTGATTTTTTACACTGTAGCGACAATCAGGATTCATACACATATTGCTTTTACCCGTATCCTTGTTAGTTAAAGTTTAACGGGGGAGCGGTGATTCCAATGCTGAATATTAGTATTAGAATTCAGGCTTTTATAGGAGAGAATGAAAAATTAGGGGCATTCGTTAGGTGGGATATTGTGCTGTGCTGTATTCTCATCAACCATGATTTTCTTACATGGAACTTCCGCATTTCCACTATGCTGTAGTACTATGCCTCTCTTCCCAAGGATATTTAGATTGGAGTGATGGTCAAGGAAGGTAAAAATGCAAGAAAAGATCAATCATTGGTCTATACTTTTTAGCTGTATGGAATCTTAATCTCTCTCTCTTTCTATGTGTGTATGAGAAAGAGTAAACGGTTTGGGGGTAGGGAAAGCACATGAGACCCTTCATAAGCACCATTACAAAGTTAGCACTGAACAATGTAAGGTTGCAAGTGTTGTAACTAATAAAATAAAAGGGGTTGAGATCATGTGAGACTTTTGGTGGGGTTTTGATGAAGCTTAACTGAGATATTTTTTTTTTTTTTTTTTTATTTCTTTTTTACTTTTTGTTCTTGTATTTCTGTCCAACTTCTGATTTATGTTCTTTACAGGTAAACTGAGTTGCATGTGTTTTCATTAGTGGTCCTGATATTAACTAGACTTACGATATAAAAGACATGTTATGCCCCTACTCAAATGCTTCCACTTTATTCTTTCTTGGCAAACCCATAGGGACTTAGGTTGCTACTTACAATTTGTTCTTGAATATATGATATCTCATCTCACCAAACCAATATAGCCTTTGCAGATCCACTGATTGGAAAATTTTATATTAAACCATAGAAAGAAAGAAGGAAAATATCTATCATCTTGTCAAATAAGATGGAACACTAGATCATCGTAAAAATAGGACTGGTGAAGTGGGAATAAGATAGAAACGGGAAGTCTCTATTTCTTTGATAACAAAACGCTCATGAAGGTTTAGAACACTTTCTTTTTTGCTTGGGTTTTTCCAGGGATAGAAAGGTCTTAAAAATTTTTGTCACCCGTAGAGCAGAATTCCATTTAATATAGCTGTTTTAGAATACCAACTATGGTTTTCTTAGAAGGATTAAAAAAGTCATTAAATATTCTAATTTCATATGATACAATTATCATCGATCATCATTGATGCTCTTTCTGGTTTAACCTAGTGGAAATATGAGATCATCATATGAGCATAAAATTAGATTTTTATTTTATTTTCTAAAGTGATAGATAACACAAAATAAAATGTCTTTTCTTAAAGGACTGATACTTTGAAACAGAATGAATATAAGATTATTAATGCTCTCTCCGATTTCACCTAGTGGAAATATATATATAAATTAATCATATAAGCATAAAATTAGAAATAAAAATAAATATTTTATTGATTTTCTAAAGTGATAGATGACATGAAATAAAATCTTTTTTTCTAAAACGACTGATAATTTGAAACAGAGTGAATATCTCATTTTAAAGTAAGGTCGTGAGAAAACCAGAATTATTAAATATTGCATAATACATAGATGTATTTCTCCCAGCATATGGGTCCCAATAAATATATGTTAGTATATAGGTGTCGTACAGACAATCTGAGAGTCAGATGGACTCGTGTACTTCTTTATTGTTATGAATAAACTAATAAATATAAGCATTCTTTATCTTATTTCATATTGTCTGTCTCAAATATTATATGTTTATATATATTGAATATAAGTAACTAGATAAAGCCCATGGAATGGAATGGGTGTCACATTGAGGATCTGTGATAGGAATCACGGTCATGAGGGCTCAATGACACCGCACGTCCATTGGCAGAAATATGTTCCTAATCTAGATACACCGAGAGTGGGATTGGTGATCTTGGGTCAAATCATGTGATTGACATGATAACTAAGTTAAGAATACAGTTCATGACAGACAAGTCTAATAGGAACCTAATATAAGTATAAGATATACGTGGAGACAGATGTCATTATGTGAAAAGTTAGGATTAGTTTGGTAATTGACCAAGGTTAGGTCAAAGTTTGATTTTGATGATGTAATTAAATTCTATAGTTAATTTCATGGGTTCAAAGTGATTATATGTAAGTTTAAGGATAAATGGTCTTGACTTGTGAGTTGCCATATAATTGGCATAAGCTTTGTAAGAAAAGATGAAATTAATAAAGTGTGTGTCTTATAATAATACATAGCATTGTATCATTTTATTGAGAATTGTCTTGGATTCCTATCTCTATGAGTGCCTAGAGACATCGTGGTTGATCCTACTTTGGAAGAAGATAGGTAACTTGCGCGACAAGTAAGCCATTTTGTGAAGCTTCAAGATGTAAGCTCTATGTTTAAGGGATTCTCTCCTATCTATGTGCTCCATCATGGTTAGTGGACTTTGGTTAGTATTGTATGATTGTCTTCTGATACTTGGTATAAATGCATTCATATAGAACTATATGATAATATGATATGTTTTGTTCTGATGTGATTTCTGTTATAATTCTTGGCCAATGAATTTATGCGCACTGATTTTCGCTTGGGGTCCTCTCTTGGGATTGACTGTGTACACCTCTGTTATAAGTTGAGTTTCTCTTGGGGTCCACCCTTGGGAACACAAGTGTTTATTTTCGCTTAGGGTCCTCCCTTAGGATCCTCCCTTAGGAATGACTACGTACATCTTTGATAGGATATGTGAATATGCTCAGTTATGTTATGATATTTGTTTATATGATGCTTTGTATACTCTGTATCTGACTTTCATGTAAGATGTGGGCCCAGGGTATGGAGATTTCTCTGTAAACCTGGAGCTTACTGAGATTCGTTATCTCACACCGTCTACGAACATCATTTCAGGTGTGCAGATAGCCGGTGAGCCCTCACGGGGCAAAGATACGACCCGTGGCTAGAGATGCCGTAATGGAAATGTATGTTTTGGACGATTCATCACCACTATTTAAAGACATGATCTTGGGTAGCATTATGCTACTATTATTTTGGAAGACATGTATTTATTGCTTATTCGAGTTCTATTCATTTTGGGATCATGATGTGTGATCCATTGTACTATATATGGTCTGTATATATTTTGTACATGTCTTCTGCTTCGATGCATGTACGTTCGGGTATTCAGGAATGTTATATGATGATGTAATATTCATATATGTGCATGTGTTGAGTTATGTATGATGTTAGACATAGTGGCACAGAACCAACTATTATATGATATGTTTAAGATGACATGTTTATCAGGTATGGATTATGATAGAGAGACTTAATACCTATTTGTTCAGTTTTCAACCATTACGCTATCAGATTTTAGACATCGTCGGGATTGACACTTGTTATCATATCCGGATGGTCAAGGGCCATTGTATATGGTCATTGAGAAAAGATGAATGCTTAGAAAAGGAATTATGATTAATAAAAAAGAATGGATGAAATGTTATATATCATGTGAAACGAAATAAAGAAAAGAAAAAAGTAAACTCGTATTTTCATAAGCTAACACAAGAGTATAAGTTAAGTCTTTCATGGATGCATGTTTTAGTATCATATGTATGTTAATTGAACTGGTTCGAGACGAAGATGTTACAATATGCATGTCATAGAAAAATTGCACATGTTTCTATTATGCATGTCCAAAAGCGACTAGTATAGTACGTTATGTTAGTATATAGGTGTCCTAGAGACAATCTGTTTTATCAGATGAACACCTTTTTCTATTTGGTATATCATGATTAATAAATTTGAGCAAACTTTATCTTTATCATATTTATGTCTCGCCAATATTTTATTGTTAATATGCGTTTAAAGATAAAGACCCTAGGAATAGAGCAGGTGTTCACTCGGAGATCTATGATAGGGATCACGATCATGAGGACTCGAGGACACTGAATGTCTATTACCTAAAATCTGTTCCTGGTCTTGAATCACCAAGAAAGGGTATTGGTGATTTCAATAAGACTAGTACGACATCATCTACTTGTATGGAGATACAAGGTAAGGACCTCATGGAATGCAGCTATGCTGATGCCTTAGCTGATGTCGTGGGTGGATCTGTTGAAGAACAGATAGCACTGAACTGACCCGCTTAGAGACTCCACAAGGATTCATTATAGAGAGTATCATTGGATTTGAAAAGTCTCTGAATGTTTGGTAGTGCGGATCGTCCTAGACTTTAGGATGTCATCGAATACTATGTCCTAGAGTTATACTTTGATTGTACAACTCTA